ATTAGTTCTTTACTTTGCTTGATTAATCCCTTTAAATCACTTGGCTCAGCTATATGTAGTTTCTATGGTACATTCCACTGCAAAAACTATTAGTTGTTCCATCTCAAAACTCAAATATCAATGCCATTGAGGTGTCTGTGAGGCCAGCTGTGGTCCCATTCTGGATGATCTCCATGTGAAATCAGGAAGGCTGGAGTTATTTGGCAGCCTTGGTGGAGGAGTTTAATTTTCTCAGCCTGTGGTGAACTGTGTCCGATATCCATGGAAAACAGTGAATCCAGGATTTGGCTCATCAGAACCATGCCAGCAACCATAAAAAAAAAAAAAAAAGACATGAAAATAATTCCAACCGTTCCTGTTCCAATTTACAAGAGACTGAAATAATCTATATCCAATCTATACACATCTTCAAGAAACAGTGAAAATCACAACTGAATTCTTAACTATACATAATTCTGATACAAGATGCAAACAGAAGCTGTTTCAAGTAATTCTTATGCATGGTCTCCTGGATGATGTATTGCAACAATGATGATACCTATATCATGACTAGAAAGGCCTCTATTCTAGTTTGTATTAGAGGGTGTTATAGCTGAGATTCCTGGGAAATGAGCACACCTAAATATAAATGAGCACACCTAAATGGGTGCTAGGTGTTTAAGCTCCAGTTTCAGAGTGTTAAGGCTTCACTTGCTTAAATGTAGGTTCTCTAGTGGCCTTTGAGATGCTGTATAGTGTCCAGGACACCTAGATGGGGCTGACACAAGACCTATGGAAAAACCACGCCCTCTGCAACATAATCTGGAGGCCAGGGAGGATGTCCAGGGACATCTTTGGTGGCACTAGAAACTGGGGCAGCTGAATCTCATCCCTGGTAAATGCAGTTAATGAAGCGTGAGGAGCAATGTGGTGCAGCAGCCACTGGGGTAAGCTCCATCATATCTAGGTTCCACCATCTAATTAGAGCATCACGAGCTGTTAATAGACATTTAAAGCTGAATTCCCTTGCCCACTATTCAGAATGTCCTAAGAAATCCCAGACATCTGCACGGGGTTGGTTGGTGTGACAGAAGGCCAATGTTACCCTGCAACAGCAGCTGAAGGCCCAACAGGATGCTCCAGGGCACCTCAAAAGGCATTAGGCAGAGTAAGGAAGTCTGAACCTACAAAGAGTTCCTGGACGTATAAAACACTGGAGATTCTTATAGTCAGGAGAATTATGTGACTCTTCAGCTTAGACTGCCCAAGGACTCCTGACCCTCTCGTCCATTCCCTAGATGCATTTAGCTGACTACAGTGCAAACAAAGAACGGTAGAACCCAGAGGTTCTGACTGCACAGCAGGGAACAGTGTTTTATTTCAAATGTCTTAAAATTATATTTTTATTCTTTTCAGTCAATTTAGTTTGCGTGAAAAGTTGATAAATTCAAGCCTGGCCAGTCATTCATTTAAGTCTTCTTAGAAAATCAAAGGGGAAAAATGAACTAGAATGTGGGCTATTAAAAATTTCAATCCATATAACTTAAGAGCAGCCAAATCTGCCTGTTACACTGACTACATAATTTTTAAAGTATATCATCAATTTTTGTTGCATGTAGTAATGATATACTTCTAGATTTTCCATTCAAATGAATATAGATGAGCAGGTAGATGAACTGACTGCAAATAGGTGAGATACAGGATGCTTTCAACAAAGAGCAAATCATGTCACTTGCCTTTTCTTTCTTTTTTTAGTGTCAGAATTTGCTGTGTGCAGTACTGGTGTTGGCCATGGTGGTGCAGTGTTCTGAACAGTGGTGATAAGCAAACCGATTGTTACCTTTCCTGGTTTTAATGACTAGACAGTGCCCCTGCAATAGGTACATCCATATGATTATGTTAAGGACAAGCTGTCAGGTACATTCACTTTTCATGTTCAGTATATAAAAAAAAGTTCATCAAGAAGGTTCTGCTGCACTTCACATACACAGAGAGTGAGTAATCAATATTCCAATATTGTTTAACATAATTAAGAAATAGATACATAGCTAAGAAACTATGATAAGTAGATCATATACTAATATTAAAGGTACACAGAAAATTATGAAATTATTTAGGACATTCTTCACTGAAATGTTTTAGACTACAATTTTAAATATATTGCTGCAACAGTAGTAAAACACGGAGGGTTGGGAAGTAGGATTTAAAAGATTGGTTTTGAGCAGAGGGAAAAACACCCCACATGTTATTAGAAAACCAAATAGGTAATGCTCATAATAGCTGTATAATTTGTTTTATAGAGAACTACAGCTCTGTGGCTGCTGTTTTGCAAGCTTAAAGCAAGCTTTCTCGCTAGTATCAGTGTCATAATTGTCTAGGTAATTAATTTTGGTTATCTGTTTGAGAAAGTTGTTTGGGAGATACTTCAAGTAGGATATTTCAGTACTGTTAATGACTGTTTTGAGGCGGAATTTTGTTCCTTAGTGTGACATCTGAAAAATACTCCTAAATACAGAGAGAGGCAGAGTCACAGAAAAGTTAATTGCCTTGATGGATCAAAGGAAACAGAAATCCACATGATGATCATGAGGGAATTAGACAGCTCTCAGATCACATGGCACCACATGCAGGGCCAGCCAGGGAAATGGCTGAGGAGACATGAGCTGTCAGAGCTGTGTTGCCACCAGACTGCAGCACACTCTCCTTGTCCCACAGTATGTGGTGCTGCCTGCTTCTTCCCTTCCACCTCCACTGCTGCTTCATCCAACCTGAAAAATATGTAATGGGGTAAAAAATAAAGATTAAAAAGTTGCAATAAAACTAGAGAATATGACAATAGAAGACGTTCAGCAGGACATCACTTAGGTATTAACATCATGTCTAATTGATCATTTTCTATGAAAACAATAAAGTAGTGTAATATTTTCACTTTAATAATAGTAACAAAACAAATGCGAAATATGAAAAAATAAGAAAAGTTGCATTGCTACTATAAAAATGTTTAGGAAGGAAATAGCATATATTGTAGAATCCAGAAACCCAACAACCCTTGAGCTTGGATTTTACCTTATTAGTCATAGCATCCATGCATACAGAAGCATCCCCAAAATCTAGCACCACTGCATCAAGGAACATTTCTGTTCTCTTCACACTAGCGTCAACTTACACAATTCTAAATTTAAGAAGCTTATGAGAATGTAACATTTCTAAAATTAATCATGCAAGGCATTTCCACAGCTTGAAACTGCAGCAAGGATCCAGTGAAAACTGGTTTGAGGTGGGAAAGAACTGCCTTATCCGGGTGATGAGGTTTACTATACCTTTCAGACTACTAGTCTAGGGGTAGATATATATGATGTACATGCTTGAGCATCAGTTAATTCTGTTTTCATTATTAAAATGTATAGTCTAAAGAAAAAAATAAACCAAAAAGGAAGATTAGACAATAATCACTGTTTCTATGAATATCATCTCACACACCCATATGTTCATTTTTTGGAATTTTTTGGCTTTCTGGAAAGCCCTTTGTTGTGCCCCAGGGGTCTGTGATTGAAAAGAATTAAAATCATAGCAGTTATGAGCACTGAATGTTTAATTAGCCTAGAAAGGAAAAAGAATAAACCAAAAAAGCCTCCACAGACTGGTTATTTCAGCTACAAATCTCAATGTCTTTTTCTGGAGTAGACACTCTCCTCCTCCACACATGTATTGCTTTTTTATGAATCACTAAAAATGTTAAAGAGAAGCAAAGGAAGATTAATCGTTGGCTAATCTAAAGAGTCTAAAATTTATAGCCTAAGACCTTGACCTGCATGTTAGCTACCTAAAGCACAACTTACATGGAATGATGCAGGATGCCTTGCATCAGATGCTTCTACCAAGTGCTGAAGATACTCAAACTCATTAGAGGTCTTCATTTAAGATTCTTGAAAGTGTCAAGAGCTCTTCTTTGCATGACCAGATCTGCCTGGCCCCAGCATCTCAAAGCCTCTCCATTTACAACAGGTCATGTGGAAAAACAGGAGCATCTTTCTGTTTAATTTACATTTGATACACAGAAACATGAGTAAATAATGCACTGTCTTTTGAAGAAAATAAGCCCTTAGTAATAGAAGAGATTGTCTAAGTGCTGTATGACTGCATAGGGATTAGACCACTCAACTGGAAGACGAGAACTGGATAACCACCTGTGTGGGGCTTAGACTCTCGCAGAGATGCTTTTCAGAGGCAGGTGTTTAAACACTTGCTTCCTTCAGAACATCCCTGCATTAGATGCCTCTCAAGAACATTCCTCCACCCAACCTATGAAACACTCCCAATGTTTTAACCAAGCTTAAGGCAACATAACACAAGCTCAAGACTTGGTAAGGACTAAACACCACAGCTATATACCAAGGAAGAAGCATCACCAGGAGCAAAAGCATCACTACCTCGCTGGCTTCTGCACCACTTATTTGTTAAATAAAGCACCCAGGGAAGTCCTGTAAAGTTTCTTTAGTTATTCCAAAACCTTCAGGCTTGCTAGAGGCAGTCAGTGTTCAACACAAAACTAATGGCCTCTGCATTATTTGTGCCACTTTAAAAGACAGTAAAAAGATGCAAAGCTGTCGGAGTCAGAGCTGTGACAGAGCACCAAGCACAGCAGCCCACCGTGGCCCGGGAGGGAGCCCTCACCTCGCCGCACTCACTCGCGGATCCGGCGGCCGCTCCGCTCCGCCCCGACCCTGCCCCGGCCGCCTCCGAGCGTGTCCGCGTCGGGAGCCGCCGGGAGCCGCCGGGAGCCGCTGGGAGCCGCCGGACCGGGAGCGGCGGGCACAGGGAGCAGCGCGGGCAGGTGAGGCAGCGGGAAGAGACCCGGCATCCCCCACATTCCCCACACCCGCGCTGACAGCGGTCGGTGCCCAGGGGCCAGTGTCACACCTGCTTTGTCCCGTGCACCAGAGAGCGAGGGCGTGAGTCGGAGGTGCCCCGGGGTAGCCCTCGGGAAGGACGGGGGATTGCGGTGCCCGCTGCTCGCTCTCCTGCCCTCATCTGTTCGCTTCACGCCACAGTAGCTGGTCCCCCCTCCGGGTTCTCGCGACTGTTCTGTCTGTGGTGGTGTGACGATACCGTCTCCGTACTCCAGGACCTGCCTTCTTCCAGCTCCTTCCTATCCAACCGGGGAAGAAAAAACACAGGGGAAAGCAATATTCCATTCTTGCCAGTGGCATCTTTTGCAACCTTTATGTTCAGCAGAGGTCTTGCTTTCAGTTTTCCCTACAAGTATCCAACAATTTGAGAATGAATAGTTATCAAGCAGAAATGCTTTATTACGTTTGGGTGGTTTGGTGAAGTCCCCAGACTCCCCAGTGGTGACTGGACGTACAGTGCAAGGCAAATGGAACAGGCTGGGAGGGAAAAGGGGAGGAGGAAGCTTCATTTCTTCATTCAGAAACTGGATGGATCAACCCTGAGAAGGAAAGAACAGTCACACTCTTTCCGTGACATTCTGGGGAAGGTCATGTTCCATTTCAGCCTGAGACATAGGACTGACTCACTCTCCTGGTGTTTCTGAAAAAAAACAAAAAAAAAAAAAATAAATCAGTGATCTATTCTAACTCTTTCTGTTCTTAGGGAAGAGCACGCTTTGTGCAGTGCTTTTTCAACCACTTACCTGCTTTGAGTTTCTGCAGTGAGCAGGAGTGAAGGAAAAATACTAGATAATGTCAGAGTTCTGGCTAATTTCTGCTCCAGGAGATAAAACAAATCTGCAGGCATGGGAGAGAATGAACACTGTGACATCTAAATCCAACCTGTCCAGCAACAGCAAATTCCATATTCCAGACTTAAAGGTAAGTGAAGAAGGGGTTTGTGTGTGGGCAATACAGCAGCACTAGCTAGGGCTAAAGACTTTTGGGATAACTGTGGGATTTATCCTTTAGGATAAACATGGGATTTATCTTTCGGGATAACATGCAGAGAATAGAAGAAGACTGTGGTTGGGGGATGAGTTGTGTTCAGTCAACTGAAAATTGATCAGAGAGAAGTAAGTCATTGTGCTCAAAGCTGACCTTCACATTGGAAGGGTACATTATCAGTTAAATAACTAATCTCTTGCATTCCATGAGCAATTTGCTCCTAGTCATGAAAGACATACAGCACTTTACATGATGGATTGCTAATGCAAAGGGAGTAGCTAGAACCACAGCAGTAACACTGCTGACAGAGAAAGCAGTGCTACCATGCACATTAGTCCTTAGGAAATTGATGTGTGTGTTTATTCAGCTGCATTATCAAGCTTCATGATATCATATAAATTCAAAGGGTATTAATCCATGATTTTAAAAATTATTTTATGAGATCTGCACTTGTATTTCTGTTTCAATGGTGGCTATGGGGAAATCAAGATCTGCTGTATTGAAGTCAATAGAGCTACCACAGATGTAGAACTTGATTCCTTGGGGAGTTGTCATCACCCATCACTTAACAATGCTACACTTAGTGCACCCAGGATCTGCCTTTAATCCAAAAAGATTGTTAACAGTTATAACTTGAGCTCTTCCAAGTACATAAGGATCCAAGTAACAGGGGAGCATGGCCTGTTCTCAAGTAATAACCTACTGAATTGTCACACGAATGTTTCAGACTGGTAATGTTGCTTTTTGCATACACACCTGAGATCGATATTATTTTTACCATCTATGGACCTTATTTTTACCATCTGTGGACCTTGCCCAACTGGTGGTAGTGTGAGTCTGCTTATGCTAAAGGAACTAAAGCATCTGGAGTATCTGAAGACACCCATTCACATTCTGCTGTTTGTTCTATATAAAATTTTTTTCTTCTCCCTCAGCTTGACCCTTCATAATGTTGAGCTGGCAGCATTAGAAGAAAAGGTTTAGCAATATACTGCAATACCATAAATACAGGATGGTGACTGAGTCATACAAAAAGCAGATGTTGGTCGGAAATGGCTTTGTGAGACACTTAATCTTCGGTAATAGCAAAAACTCAGACAGAGACCCTCTGTCTTAGGGTCTCTAAGTCCTGCTTCTCTAGGTTCTCTCAGTACATCTGACTTGTTTGTATGTGTGCATTATTTTTGTGCATTTCTAGTCATTGTTTTATCAGGTTAAAGACTATGCAGCTCAATGAATGATACAGGATGAAATGAAAACAGGAAGACAGTGATGTGTGATCTTGAGACTACACGTATTTTTTTCCTTTATTGGAAAAGGCTTTTTATGCCCTAGGTCCTGGGTAAAGGAATTGCTACTATTTTCCACAAAGTAGATAAAGTTCAGCCAAACTATTGAATTCACGAGTGTTAAGCACAAATCAGTCTCCTTAAGGCTCTACCAACAGAAGCCTTAGGCAGAGTTGTGCATCTTTCACCTAATTCTCATCTTTTGCACAGGTGGGGACACTGGATGCTCTTGTTGGTCTGTCAGATGAGTTGGGAAAACTTGATGGCTTTGCTGAAAGGTAAACTAGATCTTATTTACTATCTACAAATGAGAAACAGACATTGTTTTTATGAGATGGTATGTCCTTGTGTTCACCTCAGTCTGACTCAGTTCAGCCTGGACTACAGCTGGACTAAAGTGGGTAGGCTTTGTTTAACCCTTGTGTTGATTGTCATGAAGTCATCATAAGGAAAGGATGATTCCTTAAAATTTAGCTGAATGGAATCTGTGATAGTTTTCTCTGCACAGTGATTTGAGTGGCAGTGCTAGGAAAGCAGTTTCTCAAAAGGAAACTGCTTAAAAAGTTGAGTTTTTTGTTTGTTCGTTTAAGAACATTCTTCCTCCCCCATCCAGAAACTTAATAAAACAGCTTTTAGAGAATGTGAAACCCTTCCTGATCTTGTTTTCACAGAGTATTTCTGTAGAGCCTTCTGTCCCTTTGCAAACAGATATAGGAGTTCTAAGGATTAAATAAAATCCAAACCTCTCCCTTTCAGGCTTTTAAACTCCTTGAAAGCCAGAATATTGACTCACATTGTATAAAACCTACTCAAGCAAAGACTTGCATGATCTGACCATGACTTGCTGACCATTGCCAAGTTTGCCTTTTGGACCAAACTGACCTGGATGTACAAAGAATAATATATTGTAGCAAGCTGAGAAAATGCCAGGTTGTAAGATGCTTCATGGCACAAAGTAGAGTTTGAGAAAATGAAAGTATAAGCTGCTGGGTTTTTCTGCTTTGTTCTATTTTTTGCTTTGGAAGCATGCAACTATGAACACATGTAGTTTTGGTCATGTGTTAGCTCTGGGGCTTTTAGCCTTTTTTCTCCCAGTCCAGACTGAAAAGGATTTGCTTATCTAAATATGCTCAATCCTTTCATAGGTTTTTATCAGGCAGTTGCAAACACATACAGAAACCCTGACAGAAACTGTTGGCATCTAGGCTGGGCAGTTTGGGTCAAAGTAGGTCTGCTACAATACATTTCTCCATAGAATTTTTTTTCTTTTAATTTTACTGGTGCTATCTGAAGTCTGTATTAGGATGATTACATTTGATCACTCTGGACTGCACACAACATTGATGTTTCTAGGAGCATAGAATATGATTCATATCTTGCATTGAAAGACTACCTAAAACTAAACCATATTGCTTTTTCAGGATTTCTAGCAGGACAGAGCAACTTAATTAGTCAAGAAAAGCATCTCCATAGTGACCCTGCCGAAAATACTGCCCCATATTCTTTGTAAACATGTTCAGGCCTCTGGCTCATACTGTAGAGAAGGAAATGGGAATGGGGGTGAATCTGGGAAGAGACAGTGCCAATACCTGCTAACTTTTCTCATGGAAGGTGTCTCTAGCCAGGGTAGCAGATAGGCAAGCAACAGTGAGGCCCTTCCACTGTTATCTGCTGAGGCAAGGACTCTTCCTTTTGTCCCATTTGCCTATCAAGATAGGTAACCAAGAAGGATCAACAACATTTAAAAATAAGAGGGATGCATTGAAAAATAATGAAAAAGCATTAGGATAGTAACAGCTAATAATCAACATAGATTCATCAACACAAGAGAAAAACCAAATGTATTAGCAGATTGAGTCCCACAAGGACATACAAAAGCATTTTGCATTAAATAAATGCCTAAGGTTTATGTCTGAATTGTGATTCAGGGGTTAAAATGCCAAGCACTCACACTTGATTGACATAAATGGCATCCAGAGGGTTACAAGCCTGTTCAGATGACCTGAGCTCCTCTGAAAGAGCTGCCTGCTGAACTGTTGCTGGATAAACACAGCTGCCAGTAAAGCCAGGCAGTGCAAACCTGTCAGCGCTGCCTCCTGCCAGGACAGAGAGAAGGGGCAAGAGCTTGCAGGAGCTATTGTTTCCACATACTTTTATTATTTATTTACTCAGGGAGGAAGAGTGTTTTTCCATGTCACCCTGTGGTAGCATGGAGCTCTCTCATATTGACAGTCCTCTGGGTCACTGTTAACTGGGGGTTCTCCCTGTTCTCTGTTGGCAGAGCATTTGGCAGCAGCCTCAGATTTCAGGACTTCTGCTCCCTGTAGTGTTTTGGAGGCCTGGCTGGTAGCACCTTTTCATTTTCAGTATCACTTAAAGACTTTGACTTTTTTTTGGAAGGTAATGACATTGCAGCACTTGCAGAAGCAAAATGTGAAAGTCAAGAGGTAACAATAGGTTAAATGGAGTTATTCTTTTTATGGGTTTTTACTACTACTTCTTGAAGCAGTTTAGCTGAAACCCTTTCCTTTTTAAAGCATCATTTGAGCATGATATTTCCTCAAGGTGGGATTCATCTCATCTAAAGGCAGAGGTTTTAAGTGTTGACTGTGAAAGCTGCTCACTCAGTGAAACAGCTACTTTGGAAAGCTACTTTGGAAAATCTCCTGGTTTATACACTTCTCCATGGACTTTCTCCGTAAGATCTATAGACTCCTTCTATTGGTCTTACCAACTATTGTTCCAAGTTCCTTTGAGCTCCCTGAGCATCATGAAAGAGGACAAAAACCAGCTGTATCTACCAGCTGAAATTTTCAGAAATGCTTGGAAAGGTCACAGCTGGCAGGGAACCACTCCCTGGATCCCTCAACCTCCCCACAGCCAGAGTGTGGGCAACACATGCTGTACTCCAGCAACCCTCTGCTGGCACCAAGTCCCTAAGGGGCTGCATGTAGATAGTGAAAAACTGCAGCAGCTCTGTGAGAGGGATGTGAACTGGAGCCCAGTGGTGTAAATTCCTCCTACAGAAACTGAACTGCTCCTGTCCAGGGTAACAGAAGAATGCTATGGGTTGAAAGGGTTCTTTAAAGATCGTCCAACCACCCTGCCATGGGCAGGCACACCTTCCACTAGACCAGATTGCTCAAAGCCCCATCCAATCTGGCCTTGAATGCTTCCAGTTGTAGGGCATCCACAGCTTCTCTGGTCAACCTGTTCCAGTGCCTCATCACCCTCACAGTAAAGAATTTCTTCTTTTGTGTCCAGTCTAAATCTACTCTCACTTTAAACCTGTTACCTCTTGTCCTGTCAGTACAGGTGCTGGTAAAAAGCTTCTCTCCAGCTGTCATATAAGCCCCTTTTATATATTGAAAGGTCAAAATAAGATCTTCTCTTCTTCAGACTGAATGATCTCAAACAGCATGAATTCTAACTACTGCATTCTTGGCAGCATCAGCAATCTCATCTTTTTCCTCCCTGTCGCAGGACTAGAAAACCTTTCCAAAGACTGTAAGTTTTTTCACAGGAATAGAGATAGATGTAACTGCTTTGCAGCACATGAATGAAAATCCTTTTCTCTGATGTTTTCCTCATACCAGGGAAGACTGTACCTGGCCCAAAGTCCTATTCCTGAGCTCTTGAAAACCACAGGATGTCACAAGATACATTGTCCAAACACTCTAGGTGCCCTTTCAGTCTGCAGCTCATCTGTAGCTGTAGTAGTCTCCCCTCAGGAAGGAAAGAAAGGGATAAGAAGCCTGCAATTATGCTCCCTATCACTGTGCCAAAGATTATGTTCACTTCATGTCTCCACCAATTTCATGATCAGGCAGTTGCTTTGTAGCTGCTGTTTTTTTTTTTTTTACAGTGTGTAGTCAACCTGGAACAGTTAGGGAACTGAAAGCCAAATTCTGTGAATATCTCTGAGTGCAGAAGGATACTTGAACAACCAGAAAATCTCTTAGCCTGTATGAGACAGGTACTTTGACTAGAGACAGGGGGATCTACTGCTGGAGGGACTTCATGAATCCATTTTTTTAAATCAGCAAAGAATAAGTAACTGTGTGGAGATAGTGTTCTCCAGGAGGGGCTCTGTTCAAATCACTACTCTGAATCGGGCAGAAGGATTTCAGTCTAGTTCTCCTATACCTTAAAGGATAAGAGAGAAAGAATCCCCTAAAGAAAAAGAACAAGAAGTAAATTCTCCCTGTCAAACAAGTGAACACTGCCATTTACCCCCGAATACTTTATAAGAACCTTCTCTCAGCAACCCTTAGAGTTTCTTTGGCATTCTAGGGAACGAATTTTCAGTCAATGTTGTCTGTATGTAGCCTTCTGTTCCTTCATCACCTTTGGGGTTTTAAACATGGGTTTCTTGCCTTTCTGGTTTCTGCTATGAATGTAATGAGTGTAGAGAAGACTGAATCTTGATCAGTCTAGAGCACTGGATAAATGACATTACCTGTGTTTTTGCAGAGATCAATGTATTTAAGAGATAAGAAATTTAGTTCTGCAGTATATCATAGATTCTTTTATCATCATTTGAATTGCAAAGTAACCTGCCTTGCTTCAGGTGTTTTGTTTGGGCATCTCTGTGTTTATTAGATTATTGTGATAGCTGTTTTGTTACAATTTTGTTACAATTTCACTAACACAGTTTTCTTGTTACACCTAAGCGTAATAAAGAAAATAGCCCAGTACATAGGAGAAGTTATAGAGGACTCAAAAGATAAAGTCCAAGAAAATCTTCTGGCCAATGGAGGTAGGTGCTGTGAATGTGGGATTTTTAATGCATTGATGCTGCCTTTGTTTGTTTTAGAATATGAATATGTGGAATTGAAACTCTCACACTTCAGAAAGGACAGCCACAGCAACATTTTATAAGAACATGTTTAGCCTGCTCCCATTTTTCTCAAAGTTAGCAGAAGCTAACTTTGGATGAAGAGGAAAGCAAGAGACATCCTCCTTCACTCCTAAAATGACCTAGCACATTTCTGTGCCCTGCCTGGGCTTGATCTCTTATGGGCACCTAAATCTCATTCTGTATGGCTGTGTGACATCTGTCAGTGATCTGTTACTGATTTGCATTCCCCAGCTATCCTGAAAAAGTACAACAAAATTGGATGTGTTACACATGCTAATTACAAACTTGTAGAATGATGCTTTTGAATAAACTTAAGAGTGCACTTTGACTGTCTACAATGTTGTACTTCAGACCTGTATGGGTAAAGGATGGGGAAGGAAGTTCTTTTAGAGATGTCCTTGCATGACATAAAACTGATGTGTGATGAGTGCAGCTGTTTAAAAAATACAATAATCCCACTTACTGTGTTTCAGGGCTAAAGGATAAAATGAAATGTCTCAAAAGTATGTTGACTGATGATTGTGGTGTTGTCACATGCATGCATTTGTGTGTATTAGTGCTAGACACAGGTCTTGGTCTGGTTGTAGAGATACAGTGATCAGGTTACGATGGATTTCTCAAGTAACAACCTCATAGCTTGATCATTATATCGCTATGACTTGAGAAACAACAGGTTTCATTAATTTCCTTTGTTTCCCCTTTTTACACCATTTTGTTTTCATATCAGCTCTTCATGTGTGGTATTAGGATATGACAATTACTTGTGTGTTACTAATTTCTCTCCTCTGTCTGGGTTTGGTCATCCAAACAAATCATATTAAATTAGGACATTAACCTTTCCAAGATTATTCACTGCATCTTAAAAAATGAAGTCAGCTTTAGCATGTGAGGATTCCCCTAATATCTTCCAGTGTCAGTCTTCATAAGCAGCAGCAACTTTGCTGCACCAAGTCTTCCTCCTTTCCTTTTTGATTAGCAAAAAGACTCTAAAGTCCTTTCAGACTTCCTTGAGTTTGTGAACTCAAGGACTTCCTTGAGGTCGTGAAATTAGAAACAAAATTATAAGACCTGATTTCTTGCTTCATGGTCCGGTTTCAGACTATTAGACCATCCCAACTCAAACTTTAAGTTACACTGATTTTAGCTCAGTTGTATATAATTCTGATAGCAGTTAGGTGGTGGCTGTGTGTCTAAATTTTTTGTTAGATTTGTATGAAGAAAAGTGCAAAGTACTAAAAAATACAGCACTTTTAGTTATGTGAGCGTACACACACAGAGTTTTTCAGTGGGCAACAGTTGAAAGCAGCCATGTGGAAATTTCTCTCTTACCGAGAGAAATGTATATTTGGGTAAGAAAAAATTTTTAATATATCGTAACAGCATAAGCAAGCTTTCTTGCTTATGACAGAATAAAAAATGTGAAATGTAATTAAAGCTTTTCTTCAAAGATTCATACCAAATTCTCTTCCATTTATGGTAATGTTAAACCCAAATGAATTTTAAAATTGAATAAGTGGTAGAATAACTCCATTCTTTATAGTGAGCGCAAAACAAAGCAAAGTGGGAAGCATAACAATTTTGAAGAATTAAGTGTTTTGAAGGGAAAGTGTCTAACACTGCCTCTTAGAGCTGAGTGTGTAAATTAGATTGTGAGAGATTTAGGCTGTGGAGTTCCTGGACAGCTGTGAGCTGGTAGGAATCATCTCTCCTGGGTGGGCAGCTATGTGAAGTCTTTTAGAAGTGACTTGACAGGTCCCATAAATCCCAGGGATGCCATTCCATGAGCATCAGGATTCTAAGGGTGCTTGGCAATTTACACTCAGGTCTGCTAGTGTAGTTCACAGTAGTTTGTGCCATCCCCAAGATCAGGCTGCTTAACTAACCTGCACCAGTGCCAGAGTACTGCTCAGGAGTGAGCTTGAAAACCTGGACTGAGAACTCATGCTGTGTTTAACTGTCCAACATCTGGATTCTGCGGAGAATTAAGGAATGTGAGGATAGAAAGGGCATGTGAAGTTCTTTGGGGAACTTTTATATCTCATCAGCTATAAATAGGTCAGTGTGTGTCTTTAAAGAGCCTGTGAATACAATGTTCCTCTGCACAGCCCGGTAATGCCGTGCTCTTTGCAGGTTTCATCCCCACTGTATTTAGCAAGGCCTAAGCACGCAAGCTTAGAAGAGAGGCAGCGGGGTGAAATCCTTGTGCTGTGTACCCCTTGCTTGAAAATGCTGTGTGAACTCTGTTGCTGAAGTATTTTTGACCTCTCTGCCTTCCCCACAGAGAACATGAGCAAGCACTGCTGGAGAACTGTGCACACGAGAGCTGTGCCATAGCTCTCCCTGCCTTCTGCAGTTTTGCACCTTTTCTGCACCCTCTGTGTGCAGGAGAATTTGCTCATTCCTGATTAGACATTAGCAGGAAGCATTGGATCTTTGCCTTGTGACTCCTGCCGATTGGATGTGGGGGACATTGACACAGACGTGGTTTTAGAAAGAGGGGGAGAACACCACCGTGCCAGTGCTCTCTGCTTTCTAGGCAGTTTATCCCTTGCTAAGAAGCCTGTTCCCTCCTAGCATAAGACTTTCCATGCTTCGGAAATCTAATAGGGTAAACTGACTCTGTTGTGGGGTGAGAGAAGCCCATGGAAAGGATAGTGCTCTCCTGCCAAGGGTATTTGGTGTCACACATAACAGGGTAGTACCCTCAGCCTGCTAATATGGCAATGACACAATTTTTCACATTCCTTCTCATGCACTTTGGTTCATAAAGTTTTGCCCTTACCCTCAAAGTCCAGCCCACAAGAAATTGTGCTCAAACCTCACTGTGGAACTGAATACACTCCCTGGACAAGGCAGCAGAGAGCACTTAAGGACCTCAGCATGCACATCCTTTTACTTGGCACCTTGAGCTTGTTTTGCTCCCTATTGCCTCAGTGCAACTTCCCAGATATTCTCCATATTTACTCCCCTGGTCTGGAAGGGAGCTCACCCTTCAGGTGGCAGGGCCTCTGGCCTCTTTGTCTAAACCTTGAGACTGTGCCTGCTGCCTTCCCCTCGCCTTCTTAACCTTTAGGGGGCAGTTCCATCCCCTTTGCTTGTTGTGGCAGGATGCATGACTTTACCTCATCCTATAAAGTTGTGCAAGAACACTGTGTAGTGGTGTGTTCGGCATCCAAAGGGCTCTCAGGGCTCAGGCAAAGAGCTGTTTGATTTCATGAGCTGCTGGAGGAGAATTCCTTAGTTGGTACCATAATGTACTAAGCCTTACTGTTTTTGAACATCAAGGAGCCCTGATCTTCAAACAGGACGATCCTGTTCTAGGAGCTGGATGTTGTATGTGTCGTCTCCTCTTGATTCTGGGAAGAAGCCATGGCTCCCTATGGTCCGAGGGTGCCTTGTTTTGGGGGTTGCATGCACAGAGCCTTGCTGTGAATTTCTGTTGTTGGATGCTGTGACTGGATTTATCCATTTATATAAATACTCTATAGCTTTTTGTGAGATGGAAACTTCTGTGCACAAAATCAGTGAGAAATTTGTCATCACATCTGAATTTGTTTGATTTCTAGTGAGCACTTGATTGAATCACAGAGAAGTGACATCTGCTATGCTCTTAATACCCTTGATGAAGCTCTCAACCACCCTGAATATTACTGCTTGTCCTGGGCATGAAGTATTTTTCTGATAGCTCTTGCTGGGATTAAATTCAGGCATATTGCAGAAATCGAGATTGAGATTACACAAAACTGTTTCTACTGTGAAGAAGAATGTCTCTACAACTGTGTGTCCTGCTGATACAGATAATTTTACACTTTTTCTATACTGCTAGGTGTAAGGCAGTAAAGATTTCTGGTTCAATTTCTAAGTTTGGGCATGTTTAGAATGGTGATTAGATTGGGCATGTGATCTGTGTGGATTTGATTTAGATCAAATCTCTATAAGAATTCAGAGGTTCTGGTTCAGTCCTGTCTTTAAAAATAATCAAAGTTATGCCTAAGCTATAGCTGGGAAGTACCACCCAAACTTTGGCTGTCTGATACACTATCTGCTTTCATGCATCTCTTTGCATTTTCAGTTGACCTAATTAGCTACTTGACACGGTTTGAGTGGGACATGGCCAAATATCCCATAAAGCAGCCGCTGAAGAATATATCAGAAGCATTAGCAAAGGTAAATTGCAATCCAAATTTTAAGATGTCGTCGTGGGGAAGCATGTCTTTCGGCAGGTTGTGATCCCTCCTCTCATTGCAATCAGTGGAAACTTTGCCTTTGGCTTGGCCAGGAACAAGCTCAGAAGCAAACACTTCACACTGAAGCAGTTTATATTATTTTAATTTCTACTGCAATTGTAATGATACGTACATTGAAACCTAACCAATCTGTAAGTATATGGCACTTAGTCAGATTTACTACAGTATATTGATGTGTTTTGTGCACTTTAATCCCCTTAATTGTAAAACTTTATTTTTTTCATATACTGTCATATTATTCTCCATCTTGGAGGGTTTTTTGTGAAATTGTTGGTCTGACATTAAATCAAATGCCTGCAGGCTGGATGAATTATTTACACTGTCAGTTCATTCAGAAAGGTGTGATGTGTTGTTCAATGCAGGTAACAAATGAAACCATGAACTTGCCCCTTAGGTACAGCTTTGGCACACTAACAGCAACAGCTGACTGAATCCTACTTTCTGCAGAGGCCTTTGCCATGAGGGAGGTCTGACACCGGTTCCCTCTTGCCCACAATCCAAGTGGTTTTAGGGGGGCTGACAGCTGTGTGTTTGCGTTAAGGTGCAGTGGCAGTGGGATGGAGGTGAGAACAAGGCCACCAGCACTGTGTTGAGTCACTTTTTTTTACTTTGTTTTAGCAAGTGACTCAAATAGAAACAGACCTGAAGACTCGATCAGCTGTGTACAACAACATTAAAGGAAATTTGCAAAGCCTGGAGAAAAAAACTATGTAAGTATTTTGCATTAGGGATGCTGCATGGCTGAACTGAGGGCAGTGTGAGCCCACACCTATTGCTGTGCAGAGGACCATGTGTGTTCTGGTGGGAACACTTTTCTGACTTTGGGGCATGCTGAGTAGCTGCAGACACAGTGAATATCAGTGATAGGAAAGCTGGTGTAATCAGCGTGTCTCAAAATCAGCTCAGGGACAGTGCCGTTCCTAATGGGATTTTATTGGCAGTGTGAGCAGGCAGTCTTGGAAAGAGTCAAAACTAAATGCACTGTATTGTTCTGATGGGACTTCAGGGAGTCAGAAATTAGATGAGCAGTGTCAGCTGGTGGATTCCTTTGCCAGACAGAGCTGTGTTCTGTGTTCTGAACAGGATTTGCAGAGCTCCCATAGGAAACAGCTCTGTCTTGCTTGTTCCTGCACCTCATCAGCATCCCACTTATATTTTTCTTTTCTTTGTTTCGTTCTGTTGGTTCAGGTAATGCACTGTTCGGGCTTCCCAAATGTTCTCTCTCCTGTCTTCGTCTGCTTATGGTCTTTACCTCTGTCAGTGCTGATACCTGGGTTTTTTTCTAGGATATCATTGGGGAGAATGGTAAAATCCAGTAAGTAGTAAATTCAAAGCAACTTAGATGATGCTGTGCAAGCCCTCACCCAACATATGCTTATATGTGCCACTGTTTCATATTCAGGATCTGGGCACAGGACACCAGTCCTTGCCCTCCTGACCCTGCAGCCAGCCAGGTTGGCATCCTGCTGGCCAGGCCTCCAGCCAGGTGATGAGGGGGAAGAACGGAGACCTTGTGATCAAGGCCTATCTTCCTCTCACCATTTCATTCACCTTTATATGCTGACAACTCTGGTGTCTAACTGTGCCAGATAGCTTGGGTTGAACAAACACCTAATAAGTTACTGGCCAGTTAATTAATATTTAGAAACTACTGGTTTAGGTCCTTTTCACTTTTGCCCAGTGACAGGAAGGATGATTCCTTTCTTGTCATACACACTTGGTGCCTTCCAGCCATGCCCAGTCAACCCTGGCCATCTACATCTCCTAGGAATTAATATGATCAAGTGGGCTTAGTCTGTGAAGACCTCCTGCAGGTCCCACCCATGCATGAGACTGCTGCTCTCACTGCCCTTCAGCAGGAAGTGTCTAAGTGTGCTTGGCCATGGCAGTCCAGATATGCCAGTGTTGCTTTGATAGCCTAGGTCTGTCCTAACACAGCTTGCTCTGCCTGAAGCCTGGTCACACAAGCAGTTCAACAGGCTTCCTGAGAAAGCAGGTGTCTCCCTCAGGAAGTGGTAATGACTGGAAGAAGATGTGCACTTCCTGAGCATCTACACCCCTACTGTAGAAACAAAGGCAGCAGAATGGTATAGTTTCATATAAAGGGCATAAACTAGCCTCATGCTAGTCACCAATATTCTGTCGTTAGTATTAGTTGGTTTTTGATCCTTTTTCTTGCAGTAAAAATAATGAAATGGCCATTTCAGAGGTGTAGCTGTGTCCTTTAGCCACCTCCTTCTTGGCCCTCTTCTACTCCAGGATACACTATTAACAACTCCACCCACAGCACAATACCTCCAGTGTGCTGCTGCCGAGTTCCTGCTAGTGTTATTTTTACTTTGCCTTTTTCACCGTAGGGGAAATCTGCTGACCCGGACCCTGGCAGACATAGTGCATAAAGAAGACTTTGTTCTGGATTCTGAGTATCTTATCACACTGCTCGTCGTGGTGCCAAAGTAAGGCAATAGTGTGTGCACAGATGCTTGATGTGGTGTTGAGTTTCAGGCCCAAACACCGGACCGGGCAATGCTGAGTCAGGTTGGGGCACCTCATCAGCGCTGTGGCTGGGACATGGGTGGAGCTGTTAGCAAAGAAGAATGGTTTCTGCCAAGAGTGGTGCTGGCACAAAAGGAGACAAAGACTGCTCCAAAACTGTAGCAGGACAGAATTGGGATGTGGGTTTTTAATGGTTACGAGTGCGTTCTCAATCAACCTCCCGAATAGTATGAGCTAAAAGAAAAACAGACTCTTACCGGAGCATAGCCGTAACCTGTCCAACTCACAGCCTCTGCTGGCCATACACTGCATCTGCAAGTGCCTACATGCAGGATGACTGCCACTGCCATCAGTCGCGAAAGTTATACAGTGTCCTCCTCAGAAGCCTACACGAAAGTTTCCCCCTCCATATAGCCCTGTCCCAACACACACATAAGGCACCATCACTTTTCTGTATGTATCACAGGTTACAAAAAGCTGAGATAAGTTTATTGAGTTTATTATTTGCACATTCTTTCAGATTCCTCCTAAAAACAGACTTCTTGCTTTGCAAACTCTTACCATCCCCCAGATCCCTTTCTCCCAGTGCTGGCACTCACCATGATTACAGTCTAGCACTGGATCAGCTCTGGGGTTGCACACAGCAGATGCACCACACTTACCCATGGTAGGGGTCCTGGAGGATGGGACACTGTGTGGCAACCTGGAAGTATGTGCCAAAAGCCATGTTCTTCCCACCATCAGCTTCCTGTTATGAACCCTTCTTCAAGCTAAGACCCAAGTGAAAACTGAGGGTGTAGCATTGAGGGAAACATCTCAGCTGGTGACTAAGAGAGGAAAGGATAGGAGAGGCTTAGGGTATCTTAATGACATAACCCAACACAAAGAACTCCAACCCTTCTACCCTAAGCCATTAGCTTAATTAACTACATATATCAATACATTTGCTTTCCAGTGTATAGTATTTATTTACTGTGCTTTGTTTTGTGTTGCTCAAAGGTCAAGCTACATACAGTGGCAGAAGACCTATGAATCCCTCTCAGATATGGTAGTGCCTCGCTCCACCAAGTAAGTGAAGTTCCAAATTAAGCTCCCTGTTTGTTCCAGAGATCCCTGCTATATTTCAGGCAGATTGCTGGATCCTGGAAGGAATCACTTATCTAATGCATAGGCTCCACATTAACATATTTTCAATTGAAACTAGAAATTACTCTGTTGAAGGGAAGTGCAGATGAAAGAAAAGAAAAAAATAATTTTATTACAATTAGCTTGTTGTTCCTTTTTCAAGTAATCTATTTCTTTCTACTTTCAACCATTGCCTTTGTTTTTTTGTGTAAAACAGACAATTTGCTACAATAATCAAGGCATAATTCAAACATACGCAATCACATACAACTTTATGGAAACTACTTTGCAAGAAGATCAAACACTAAGTTTGCATTTTAATTGCTTCTTGCAGTACAATAGAATAATTCAGCATACTATCATTTGCATTAGCAAATGCCATATTAACTTATCCTTTCACCTTAAATATTCCACTGCTCAGCTCACGCAGACCACGAGGTTCAGTCCAGGGCACAAAAGCTGACAGTGCTATGACCTGAACTGGAAGAAGTGGAAGCAAGCTGTTTGCTACTGCCTGTCTCAAAAACACAAGTGCATGGAAAGGTGGGGGAACACTACCAGGAAACACAGACAAATCAGGCAGGCAGAATGTGTGTACTACAGTGGGTTCAGGAACTTAACTCATTGAGTTTTACATTGGAGATAGAGAAGCCGGTGCTGGTAAAGTCTTTGTTCCCTGTTTCAGTCACAACAGTTTTCAAAAAGCAGGGTGTTGTTCAGTATCATAAATGAAAATAAAGAGAACTGCAAAAGAGGAAGGTGAGGAAGGTAAAAAAGGCGTGAGGGATTTGCCATGACAAATTACAGCAGTGGATTTCCCTCCCACAGAATGATTGCTGAGGATGCAGAGGGAGGACTCTTCACCGTGACCCTATTTAGAAAAGTGATGGATGACTTCAAGGCTAAAGCCAGGGAGAACAGGTAAGTAACAATGACTGCTAGTCAGGGCAGGCTAATGAGACATAATGGGGGTAAGGTGAAGTTTATTCTATGTGCAGTATGCTAAATCCATCACTGAGTTTTGTGACTTCTTGACTGCTTGGGATGCTGTTGGCCCTAAAGCCACTGACAACGCAGGGTGGGAAGGAGCTGTGGCAGGAGAATCAATGATCCTGTTCCTAAAGCACCAAACTACAGATCCCGGAATTGTCCTTCCTGGTCTCATGCTACTGATAGCAGGAAGCTGGCTTTCTAGGAGTGACTTCAACTCCCACCCTCCACATACTTTAGCTTGTTAAATGGCTACAACTTTCTGTACCTGCTTCTCCAGAGGCAAAAGAAATGAGTGTGCATTTTGCCTGGACTACATACAGCTTGTGAGAGCAAATGTCATTCAATTGTAGGTTCATGGTTCGAGAATTTTATTATGATGAGAAGGAGCTGAAATGTGAAAAGGAAGAGCTGATGAAATTAGCTTCTGATAAGAAACAACAATATGTAAGTAGCCCCTCAAGCTGATGGCCTACATAAATGCAGCCTTTGCTACCAGCGTGCCTAAGCATCTCTCACTCAGAAATGGCTTTATGGTTCCAACAGTCTCCTGTGAGCTCCATTTAGCCCATAAAACTGAGGCATGGGATAAATAACATGATTTGCCCAAAATAATTTGAGTTTCTGATAAACTGGGAGTCACGACCAGGTGCCTGGGATCTGTCCCAGCAGCCCATGATGACCTCAGTGGTGTGTTAGCTATAGGGCTGCTTCACTCAGCAAGGGGATCACAGTACTGTTGTGTCTGTTCTCATAGGGCCCATTACTGCGCTGGCTGAAAGTGAACTTCAGTGAAGCATTTGTGGCTTGGATTCATGTGAAAGCCTTAAGAGTTTTTGTTGAATCTGTCCTGAGGTAAGTGAGTAAACATACAGTGCAGGCAGAGATTGCTGTGAAAGTCAAAACGTACAGTTCTCTTCCTGGTGCAGTTCCTTTGTGGGTGGAACCCTTACACACCCTGTTTTGTGTTGGTCAAGGTGTGTCCCTTGCACACTTTATTCCAGGAGCTCAAGGGAGACAATACAGATGTTCACAAAAAAGGTGACACACAAATTTGATGAAAAACAGTTCTTTGGGGGCACTCACAGGGAAATGGAAAACAAGGACACTATTTAGTTGACTTTTGGCTTCAAAAAGAAAATGCTTTCCAATCAGGAGGCAGCATTGTTTCTGCAACACACCATCAGCTGGCATGCCTGGAGGCTGAGGAGGGCGAAGGGCAGGAGCAGAGACCTGTGTCCCTTCGCAGCAGATGATCGTGTATGTTGATGTGTTTCAAGGTATGGCCTTCCAGTAAATTTCCAAGCAATGCTGTTGCAACCAAATAAGAAGTCTGTAAAACGCCTGAGAGATGTCCTAAACGTGGTCTTCAAACACCTGGATGAAGTTGCAGCAGCAAGTATAATGGACGTATGTATTTGAACTGCAAGTGCACATGCTGTAGCTTGCCTCAGTTTAGCCAAATGAAACTTCCACTGCCCAGGGGCTCCAGCATGCACGTCCTCACATCTTGCAGTGCTAGGAGCTAGAAGCCCTAGGTGCAGCTCTAGTCCCTGGTGGTTACAGACTGGATTAGGGTAACAGTTAGGCTCAGATTGTGAAGCAGATGCATAAAGATTGCGTGTATTTTCTGTTGCAGCATCTGATGTTCACAGCTACCAGAACAAAATAGGTCTGCTCAATTATGGCAGTTCCTCTGCATAAAAGGCTTAAAGACCTTTATAAACATTCAGATCAACACCAGCAAGAAAAATTAATTTGGAGCTAAACACTAGGACTGTGACACCCCTGTTCCCTGTAAAAGGCCGTCATTCATAAATAACCTAGGCCTTAAGCAAGCAGTACTTGCTTTCACCTTTCCCAGATCTTGAGTGCAGAAACATTTTAGGCTAAAGGAATAAATAAACTAGCAGGCCTTCAAAACAGCCTAAAACCAGCAAGTATGATTCCCACTATGCAAAGGGAGGACAAAGAGATGAGTTGCTCTAGAGCTGATGCACACAAAATTGCTACAAGTTCATGACAATGAAGCCTGAATTCTCAATGCCAGTTATGTTAGACAGCCTGAAACAAGCAAAGACCAGATTCTCAGTGGCAAATGTAGGAGAGGAGCACAAAAGCAATCCCCTGTAGCTTCGAACTGCACAACAGTTTGTTTACTGCCACTAAAGTCATATTATTTCCTTTTCCAGCCTGGCATGGACATCCCTGGCTTACAACTGAGTAACCAAGAATACTATCCTTATGTCTATTTCAAGATTGACCTCAGTCTTCTTGACTGCAGTTAAAGAAAAATTGCTCAAGCTTCATCTATTAATTTTCAAGACTCTTATGTTATAGTAAAACGATCTTTAGCTGCTGAAAGTCAAATTAAAATGCAGATGCTGTAGCAGGATGATCTTCCTACCAATAATTTTTACAGTGACTTCAATATAAATATTCCTTATTCATAGTTTTACAAAAAAAATATTTCAGAGGCAGGAGGTACTATGGTAGTATTTATTTTTTTTGGTAAATTACAAAGATGGAGTATCTACAGGACTTGAAATAAAACAATTTAAAAAAATGGTGGCTAATGGGTCTACTAAGTATATACAGTCCTGTTTTTCTAACAAAAAAATACCCAAACAGAAAAAGTAGAAAGCATCAGAGAAAAGTCCAAAGTTCTTTTAATTTAACAAAAAAAATGCCAAAAGCTTAAGAGGAAAGATCCTCAAAAATGCTGAGGAGCTTACTGTAGTATGACTTATAGTCCCAAGTACTCGTGAGTCTAGTTTTTGCAAAGATAATTCAGTTAAAACAGTTCCATTAGATCTCATCTGCTGGGATGACTTAAGAGTCAGACACATCTCTTGCACCAAATCAGCAAAGTTGCTGCTGGTTCTGACACTGCCTTTCACAGGGATGAGCTACAGGCAATCTCTTACAGACACCCGATGACAAACATCCATATTAGGTTATTTCCTTGAAAGAAGGGGAAACTTTCAGCTCTTTCATTCCTCACTTACAAACAAGCTCTTCACATGAGGGTCACTTCACTAGACACCAATATACAAGACATGGAGAGCAATAAAATAATAGTATTTTTATTAAAAAAGCATCAGTAAACATCCCTATTCCCAGTTCCGCTTCCAAGGAAATAGCAATTTCAGATCAAAACAATGTCAGATGGGAAGTGAAGAAACATTACCCAATTTGCTGGAGAGAGCACCAGGGTGGTTTTCTAATAGCACCTGGAAATCCTCATGCCCTAAAATGGGGATTAGCTTCACTACTAATCCAGGGGAAAGACCAACAGCTCCCAGCATCTCCCATTGCAGCAGCAACCGCACTTCCATTGTATTAATGATCTTATGAAGTCTGGCACAAAGAAAGAGAAAGCCCCTGAGAAGCAATAAGAAAAGGAAGACTAAAGAGCATTTAAACTAAGATTGTCCATCTAATCAGGCTTTAGGCCAAACTGTCAAGATCTCACAGCAAGGGGGTGGCTTAGGACTCCCATCTGCACAAGCCTCTCTATTCTACAGTTCATTTTTCAAGAGTCATCCAAAACAGGACAGCCTGTATCATGTGCACCTTTCTTACTCTATACAAGACTAACACTGTGTGTCAAAAAATATTTTATTCTTTAATTGAAACAGAAGCTGACCAGGTTCCACCTCCATGAAAAAAAAAAAAATTACATTTAACATTGGTTACACTAACAGCCTCCAGTAACACTCAAACAGCACACTATCCACAAAATAAAAACCAAGATGTTCCAAAGAAATATCCATGTTGTCCTCAAAATATTTGTAACACAGAATACAATCAAGTTTACTGGTTATGACAATTCATAGAATTTCTGCAATGTTTTCTTGAGATGCGTACAGTCCACTGCTGCAGTGCATCAACAGCACAGTTTGTCATGTGCTATTCTCCACATAAAGGCCACTGGAATATCCGTCTGATTGTGATCCAGGCTGCAAACTGCTGCGCAAACTCTCCCAAGAAAAAAAGTTTCCTGAAGATCTCACAGTTCATCTTTATCCCAGTCATCCAGATCCACATCACTGAGATCAATGTCATCTTCAACTGGAAGCTGTGAAAAAGGGAAGGTTTTGAGCATGTATTTAGAAGTACTTAATGCCAGGAGATCCCTGACTTAGAAATATTCTTACTTCATCCTGAGAGTGAAGCTCCCTCCCGTCATCTCTTTCATTCATAAAACTAAAAGTGCATTAAGCACAGGACAAGTGATCAGAGTTTAGACTGAGGCTTGTTTTCTACTAATAAAAATACTCCAGATGAAGACAATACAAGTAAGCTCTGTAACAAAACTACTACCATATTCCGTGCTTTTATTTGTCTGAAGTAGATCTAAGGACTGCAGTAACTTTGTTTTTTACAGCAATGTTGAACTTTAACAATGTCCACTGAGTCACTGTGTTATTTATTACACAGGCTTTACCCGATGAACTTTCTGACAGTAAGACCTTGGTGCCAAGGTCAGCATACCACAGAACCAAAGCCTCCACAACACTGGGGTCTTGAATGCATGCACTACCACCTCCCTTACTCAGCACTGCTAATACACTTCTTCCTCAAGGGATTCAACTTTCAGATCACATCCTAACAGCTAGGCAGGAGCATCTGGTCCACAGTCAGACAATCAATTTGGCGTTTGGTCTGCTGGCAGGATTTAGATAATGCAAACCCATCAACAAAACTTGCCAAAATCTTGTAAGAACAAGAATTTTCACATTGACAGTTCTTAGTTACTCTATTCTGTCACTTCTGAACCCAGCAGTTCATCAGCACTTTTAGAAATGGAGCATCTCTTACCTCACCATCTTTGCCATCCCAAGGTTCAACTGAATGAATTTTGGGGAAAGCTCCACCACCCACTGGTGCTGTAGAGCCACGACCAACAGAGAGTTCCCTGAGAAAAAACATGTAAAAGTTAAAGTTCAGAAACTTCTCCAGCCTTCCTCCACCTGGAACAGTGCCTGCTTCAGATAAAAGGAAGTCAACTTTAAGATTTCATCTCTTCAAGCAGATCTGAACTGTCTTTTGGAAGCAAAAACTTTTCAAATTGAGAAGCAGAAAATGACAGAGCCCTTAAAGCAGCATTGAAAATTTACAATTGGATCCAAAGACATCTGTGACTACACTATTTCATATTTCAGCAGTGTAACAATCATGGATAAGTACAGACATTTAACAGTACGTTGTTTATCACTTAAGGCAACTCCAAGGAAAGTCTACAATTCTATTTGTGGAAGTCACCTGCAACTGTTACTCAAAATTACCACCTATCTTTTTTAGTGAAGAATAAGCCTCCACGGCTTCCAATGGGTACAAGGTAACCAGCCTCTGAGACACTCCATCCTGCCCTTGCTAGTTAGGCTTGCTCAAAAAGCCCAGCATTAAAACCCTGAGGAGCTAATCCCTTTGCATTCTTTCAGAGGCAAATAAGACTGAATTAGCATTCCTCCCTAGGTGGATTCCATAATTTTTGTGCTCTTCACAGTGCCAGTTTCCTTACTTGTAGTCAACACTGCTGAGACTGCCTATTAGATTACAGAAGCTGCCTACAGCAGCAGAGTTAGCAGCCAGCCACACCAACTGTGATTATACTTTGTCTAGGCAGCACAGCTGAGCTGAAGCGTGGAAAGACAATACCAAACCAATTACCCAACAATATAAGCTGTTAAATTGACTGTTGTGTTCTGGAAGTACCATCCACCCTCCCCAGGAGAGGCTTCACTAAGATGGATTTTATAGACTAAGAGAATGTGCGATGTCTGAGAAAGGCAGATGCTTCTCTAATGTGCATTAATTAGTACAAACTGTCTGGTATTTTTCTCTTCTTGCATCTGAATCCTGAATTTTACTTGATGCCCTAAGAATGTTTATTTTTTGGCATTAAGAAGAAAGTCTGATCACTTGGTAAGATCTTACCTGTCTGATCAACAGGTAAGAGAATATAGCATTGATTCCATTAATCCAGCAGGAACAGCGTTCAGTTAATGTGCTTCTTACGGCAAGGTGAGGAGACGCTGTTGCATTTGCTTTTGCAATTCTCTCTGTCCTGTACCATTCTCCAAGCAAAGACATGGAAATAACACTGCTAATGTAAGCTCTCAAAGGCTCTTGCATATGTTATGGCAGCCAGTGCTTTACCTGGAAGCAGAGTTCCAGTGCTGCTGTCAGCTTCTGTCGTCCTCACCATTTCCCTTCCCCATTCCATTCTTCTCAGCACTGGTTCTTGCCCAAGCTATACAAGAGGCAGCTTCAGGGAACTTGTGCTGAGCACTGAGCTATTGAATTTTTGGATGGATTGCTTCAGCAACCCAAATCAGTTTATCAGGTGGCAGGAGAATGGGAGGTAGGAGGGGGAAGACAGGACCAGTCTGAACAAGGAATATGAACAGTAACATACAGAACCTCAACAGCATCCATTTAGATACCCAAACTGGGAACTTCCCAATTACTTATGACTAATCAGAATGCATCATTTGAAGTAAATAGAATTGATTACCAAGTTATTTCCTGAGTTACAGAGAAACAGAATTTTTCAACATCAAAGCCCACTTCTGTCAAAAGTTATGCCAAAACTACCATTTAAGTCTAAATGGCCAACTTAATTTTGTACACCACAAAAAGGTAGTGACTGCTTTATTGCAATCCTCACTGAAATCATTCCCTACTCCAGTGAATTCTAATCATAATTCTCTTAACTGTGCAAGTTTTGTCTGATCCTCAAGAGTCTGATTTTGGCCTAAAGAGTCACAGCCCCAGTTACAGAAAGATTCAAGTCACTTAAAGATTTCATACCTGAGAAACTCATTAATCCCTTGCTCACTGAATGATCCTTTCAGAAGGGCAAATTTCATCTTGCGAGCATTAACAGCAGCCATTGCTGGATACCCAAAGCCTCCAATCCCCAGAGAGCTCTCAAGATCTGACTGAGCACCTGCTTCTGTCCACAGCCACCTTGAGGAAAAGACAAAACAGAATATTAACAATGAAGATAGGCACTACAATAATTTTCAAGTCACATAAATTCTGCAACCCTGCAGAGTTCAAGCGGGGCTCTGAGCTGCCCTTGACACTGGCAACTGTTACTGATATCAGCAGGGAATAGCAGGGTCCCGATCTTGAACCCTGCACCACAAGAAAGCCTCTCCTCAGCAGCACCTCTAGTCCAGTCCCATCCTCACAGCCACTGAAAGCTGGATCAGAACAGCAGGGAAAGAACTATGTTACTAAAGTGAACAATTGCTACATTTTTGCCTGTTTTAAGCAAGGTTTAAAATTACTGAAGTCACAGATCCAAACATGACAAAGTCCTGCCTAAATATCACTATAAAGAACTTTTAGCTAAGGACACTCAGTATTTGTTTCTCGCTGGTCAGGTCTCAGTTCCTGTAATGCTTAGCAAGTCTCCTGAGTAACCTCTGGAATCAGCCAATCTCAGCCTTTTCCCTCAGGCTTTCATGCCATTCTGCCCCCTTTCACAGTAGTATGTGTGACAGAACAGCTCTCACTTTCCAATTAAGTTCCAGAGATCCTCACCTGCAC